AATTTTATCACTACGCGGCACTAGTGTGCTTGAATTTGTGATTTCCTTGTTTATGTGATATCTTGAAATCCTTGCCAGTTAGAATGTTGCTGCCTTAGGTGAAGTTGTTCAGTGGATCAAGACTTAATGGTTGGTGGACAGAAGTTTGGATTTTTTTCACTAAGCGGTGCTAGTGTGCTTGAATTTGTGATTTCCTTGTTCATGTGATTTCTTGAAATCCTTGCCATCTAGGAAGTCACTGCCTTTCGCAAAGTTGTTCAGTGGACCAAGACCTTCAATTTAAAAAATAAATTAGTGGATAATTCGGCAACTTCGTCCAGCTCCTGTATATGTGAGATGTTTTTCGTGCTTTATAATAAGAACCTATCATTCTAGGAAAATATAACCTAGGAAAATATAACATTATGAAATCTGCACTTAAACATTGTTTGCTGCAGGAGACGACTTCGAGCAACACAAAAGTCCAACATGGAAAGTAGTCAAGGAGAGTTGACTTCGTCATTCAGCAATATCACTTCTATCATTCCTTCGTAATTTTCACCCAGCTGCTATTTTTAGTTTGCGTGTAGATAGTTGAAATTTAATTAACAATCATATTTGGTATGGTTGTAAAAAATAATCAATTGAAATTGTAATGATCCTATGAACAACTATGAAATTCTGAACCCCTGTTCATCAACAATTCGGTTTTGGTCCACTGAAAAACTTACTCGAAGACAGCAACTTCCTAGATGGCAAGGATTTCATGATTTCACGTAAAATAGGGAGTCATCAATACATTTACACTAGCGCCACGTTGTGAAAAAAATACCGAAGTTCTGTCCACCAATCATTAGTTCATGATCCACTGAACAACTTTGCCAAAGGCAGCGATCTCCTAAATGGAAAGGATTTTAAGATATCGACAAAAACAAGGAAATCACTATTACATACACACTAGCGCCGCGCCGATCTCGGATCCTGGATGGAAATTATTTCAGGATATGACATAAACAAGAAAATCACAAATTCAAGCACACTAGCACCACGAAGTGAAGAAATTTCAAACTTCTGTCCACCAACCATAAGGTCTTCATCCACTGAATAACTTTGCCGAAGACAGCAACTTCCTAGATGGCAAGGATTTCAAGATATCACAAAAACAAGGGCATCATTAATTCATGCACACTAGCGCTGCGTAGTGAGAAAATTCTGAACTTCTGTCCACCAACCTTTAGGTCTTGATCCACTGAACAACTTTATCCAAGACAGTAACCTTCTATATGTCCAGGATCGCGAGATATTTCATGTTGGTCCCTATTAGGTCAAATCCCATATGCTACGTGTACTCCATTGACACGACATCGATTTACGCGGTACGTATTACTCGCGCTCTTCGGGGGGAGAGTGTAGGTGCCAAACCTGAAGAAGTGCCATTAGAAATATGTTTTGAAAATTGCGAAACACCAAGAACTCTAACCTAGAAATACGTCCTAGAATCCATTTCACATCCTTCTCAAGAGCAGTTGTAGCCGTCGTCGGTGGAGACGCTGCCGGGACCGGAATCTAGTAACAACAAGGTGAACGGGAACGTGATCGTTAATGCTTTATGATATGAGGAGCTCGGTGGCCTAGTGGCGACCGACCGATTTTGCTTACTGAGCAGAAAGCGTATGGAAGTTCGGTTGGAGGAACGAGTACGTAAGTTTTATGAAAGATGTGTTGATCGGAAAGTTATAACAAATCCTTCTCAAGAGTAGTTGTTATCGTCGTCGGTGAGGCCGCCGCCGGGATCGAAATCCAGTAATGATTGAACAGGAGCTTGGTCGTAATTGTTTTGTGAAATAAGGAGTTCAGTGGCCTAGTGGTAAAATCATGGGTTCAATCTTAAGCTCCTTTACATTAAAGAGTTGTACCAACAATCAATACGAAACTAACGATTTTAAATTGGCTCACTACTTGACTAGCCTATTGGTCCCATGCAAACGATTAACGTATACCATTCTAGATGAAATTCTAGTACTACGCAATGTTTGATTTGATTCGCTATGAAAGTTTGACAGATATAATGAGGGGTTATTGGTTCTTCCTATGTTTCGAGGGGTGAATCGATTAGCTTGGAACCGAAGAGAGTACCAGAGTTGAGCCAAAAAGTTGAGCACGTTTCTTCGGGACTTACTAGTCTTAGAGTTACTCTATGGTTGTACTTTGAATCGGAATTTCTTTCATAATATGATATAAAGCGTAATGAAGTTCGGTTGGGTACGATTACATAAAATAAATAATGTTTGAGTTTTAGGAAAGTAGAATTGCTCGAAAACCCATAACAAATGCATTTCGGGAGCAGTTTTTGTCGTCGTCGGTGAAGTCGCCGCCGGGATTGTTGAACGGAAACATGATCGTTATTGATTTGTGATATGAGGAGCTCAGTGGCCTAGTGGCGACCGATTATGCTTTCTGAGCAGAAGACCGTGGGTTCGAATCCAAACACCTTCGCGCTATTGAATCGTTTGTACATCATTTCAGCATATCGTTTACCAAAACGAATCCTGCTGTAATCCCAACCCTTTTTCCAACATACCAGTGATTTCTCATGGAAGTGCAGAGGTGTTCTCGGCTTTTATTAAAGCGAGTATTACGTCAACATATTCCTACCCATTACTTTCTTGAGCGTTGTCTAGTTTTAGATCACCAGTTTTCACACATCGAGGATGATTCCTATTCCCAAGCAACGTCTAATGGTTTTCCCTCTAATGGGGCCTCCCTTAGCTTAGTCGGTAAAGGCGCAGCTACAAAGCAAGACCATGCTGGAGGTGGCTGGGTTCGATTCCCGGTCCGGTCTAGGAATTTTTCGGGCAGGAAAATTTCTTGACTTCCCTGGCCATAGAAGTATGATTGGACTTGCCACACAATTATAAACTAATGCAAAAATGGTACAGGCATCGAAAGCTCTCAATTAATAACTGTGGAAGTGCATCTAGAATACTAAGCTAAGAGCACGCAAAAAGCTAATATGAGATATGCAATAAGCTTGAAATGCTAGAAGAAGAAGAAGAAGAAGAAGAAGAAGAAGAAGAAGAAGAAGAAGAAGAAGAAGAAGAAGAAGAAGTCTAATGGTTTTCTGTGTAATTACAGTTGATGCTGATGCTCATGCTCAGAATATTTTTCAAGATTATGGGACTTGAATATTGTATTTAAATTCTGGAGTTATATGAAAATTTAAAATCTCAGGTACACTCAAGACCTTTAACTGAAATATCTTTTAAATGAATGTACGAAATCTGAAACAAGCTTCAGTTAAAGGACACTATCTGTCAAAATTGTGGATCATCAAATTCTCAAGAAATGTGTGAAAATTCGATTGAAATTCTATGTATTTTACAGACTTCTAGGGATTAAAAAAAAGTGCAGAAGAAACTCCTAGCTCATCACTTTCAAAAGGTTTTACTTTTTGAATGATGCGTCTTGGGAAAAAATTCCCTTAAATTCAGTAGGGGGTCGTCCATTAATTATGTCACACATTTAGGGGGGAAGGGGTTTTTGAAAACTGTGACGAGTCATACAAAAAAATTAAGGTTCATTCAAAAAATGTGACAAAGGGGGGAGGGGGGTTGAAAATGGGCCAAATTTGCGTGACATAATTAATGGACCATCCCTAGGGGCTACTGCATTGAAAACAAATTATTTCTATTTATGGATTGTACTCCATGCAAAACTAACAAAACTGTTTCCACTTATCAGCATTCTGTTCGCTACATGGCTGTTTAATCAGTCACAAAGTAAAATTGTATTGCTATCTCTTTTTCCCTCTCGCCAATTTAACTTGATTGTCGTAAAAATTCGGGTTACTTAGAGACTGAGTATTTAACCCCAGTTTTTAATAAAAATCATATGCAACTAAATAAAAGTGACTCACGCACTGAGTTAGTCTCAGCTGCCATGTACACGGACTAAAAAGTAACTCACAGGCAGTCAAGTTTACTCACTTTGTATTTTTTTTCCATACAAAATTTTACTCACTTTCGTAAAAAGTGGATTTACTTACAACTGTGATTAAATCCACTTTTTACAAAAGCGATTAAAATGTGTATGAGAAAAGAGAGAGTGAGAAAACTTGGCACAACCGGCGATTTACTTTTTATCCAGTAACCAAATTGACAAAATTCACAGCTCCTGACATTTACTTGGAAAAATAATGCAATCTCCTCGTTGAGAAATCAAAATATAATCATCCGGGAAATTTTTCAATTTCCGTGGAATCTGATAAACATAATTCACCCAGACGTTTCTTCACTTCTATGACTAAACCCTTGCCTTTTCTATGCGTAAATCACCGCTCCCTCCGGAAACTCTTTATCACTTCAACGTTCGCCTAAGAACCGAAAATAACGCTGCCGCTTGCGAAAAACAATTGCCATAATGTTAAGGAGTTCTGTTCCAATTATTTCATTTCACTAGTCTGTAAGTTTTGTGAGCAAACGTAGAACGTAGTAGAAGTAGATCATCTGGATGACCTCCCCCTCCCCCTTACCTGTAATATGTAGTAATGCTAACCAATAATTGTGATGACCGATAGGAAACAAAATACAAGAATCACAGCACAAACTAATTGCCATATTTTTTAGGATTTTGAATACGAAACCCAGAGCTGGCATTACCGTGTTAAAGAAGAACCAGGCAGGATTTATCATACACTAAACAATGCATGAAGTTCGGATTCTCTGATGATAGATATCCATTTGACACACTCACTCTAATTGTTTGAAATGAATTGAAATTACCAACCATCCGTACACCCTCGACACACTGACCAAATGGATTCCCGTCGCAGAGAATTTCGGAAAGCGGATTAAATCAGGACGCCACTCTCATTCAAAGCCTGCTCGGGCCAATGCTTGTTAATAATTTTAATCCTCGTTTTAGAAAGAACAAACCCTGCAGAACCAGTGTTATTAGGAAGACTTATTTATAACCACATTTACCAATAGCAGTTGATCGATAGAATCGCATCTTCCCTAATAATGTGCTGCGTGAATGTAAATAGACAATGCGACACATGTACGGAATGGAGAAAACAAAAAGAGACATGCCATGACCGATGATAAGTTGAGAAATAAAATCATAAGATCCAGTTTTCGATTGTAGTATTCATTTTAAGCGCTTCCGAAATTCCAGTTCCCGAAGCCGGAAGATGGTTCGGGCCCAGTTTGATACAGTTTGATAGGTTTTGAGCAACAGCTGAGTGGTATAAATTGCATGTTCTGATCAGGCTTAGACCATATTCTGATTGGGTCCGTTGAAGGACCATCATCATCATGGTAAGTACCCTTGGGATTTCTCAGCGTGGCATTGATCATCAATAGTTTTTTTGTCTTAGGCCAACCTAAAATTAATTTTAATTTTGGTAGCAATTATCCTCGCTGTAGGTGATTGTTCGAAACTTAAGAAAGCAATCAAAAAATCTATCAAATATGGAGGAGCAAGCGGAGTAACCGGTATAGGTGGAATTGGCGGAAGTACGGTACGATTCGTGAGACAACTCGCAGTTGGAACATACCCAGGTCCGGTTATACCAGCTACTCACTATGGGCCTATACCATGTCCTCCACCACCACCACCACCACCGCCACCACCACCTCCTCCACCACCGCCACCGCCACCTCCTCCACCACCGCCTCCACCACCGCCACCTCCTCCACCGCCTCCACCACCGCCACCTCCTCCACCACCTCCTCCACCACCACCACCACCACCACCACCACCACCACCGCCACCTCCGCCGCCACCACCACCACCACCACCACCACCACCGCCGCCACCGCCACCGCCTCCACCACCTCCACCACCGCCTCCACCCCCACCTCCACCACCACCTCCGCCACCAGGTCACCCAGTCTACGGAGTTCCGGTAGCACTCAGCCCACCGCCAGCCATAGTGTCACAGAGCCTTTACGAAACGCAGGCAACCTTCGGTCAAAACGCCCAAGCCCAAGTAATTGTCTACCCATCTGGTCCGTCCGGATCCGGCAATGGTCCCTCGTTCAATCCATCGGTTGCCACGCAACAGATTCAGCTGCAAAACAGTAATCCACAGATCAATGGACCGCTCAATGTGATCAATGCGGGAGGAGCAGTCGCCGTACAACAGCTCCCGTATGTAAACCAGCTGACCGCTCCGGGACCGCTGCCTGTTCCGCCTCCGCTGACCTGGGTGGAACCACTGCCCCCTCCGTCACCGCTGCCCTTGCCGCCGCCGCCCCCTCCAGCCTACGTCGAGGTATACGATAACGGCAGTTGGAAACCACAGTATGGTGTACCGATCTAGTTGTGAAAGCTAGCGAGTGAACCGATTTACGTGTTATGTTATGAAATGTTTGTACTTTTTTTAAAATGTTGAATTAAACAAATGAAGTTATACATGCGTATTATGTTGCTGATGATCCGAAATTTTATAAAATAAATTCGAGAAAATTTCTAGACGATCATTTTAAAAGGTTCTATCTGCGTTGATCGATTCGCAATAACTCAGCTGCATAAACATTCCCTGTTGTATTTTACGTTCTGTATGCTAGTGTTTGTATGGTGTGTTTTTTGTAACCAGCGGTGTGTAGTTCTATCGAGAGTCTCGTCACCGTGTGCGAGTTTGAACACGGTCCGGTTGGTAAATTAGCTGGGTAAAGTGCTGATAATGTGTCCGCCACGAGTTTTGGTGGTGATTCAATGGCCAACGTTGCCGTGAATCAGCGAGTTTACGGCTTGCAAAAGTGCTCGTCTGCTGGTCTCTCGCCAGTGTCGGAGATTGTGAGCAAGCTGAAAGATGCCTCGCTGGATACGCCCAAGACTAAACGGATGGTAGCTGGTGGCCGTTAACGGTTCCTGGGGAAAGCACTAGACGCGAACCTCCTCCCAGATGACCATGGCAATGCAGGAAGCACAGACAAACAGACATAACACTCATAAGTTGTTCATCGCACAAGCATTTAACGGTCAATTTGAAAGTATCTCAGTTGATAGTACTGCCACCTGTGGCGCGCATAGTACATTCCCTTTGCGTTTGACGATTACACACTACCGCCATCTGTTCAGCGTACTACCCACCACAACGCACTATGTCCGACACTATGTTTAACCTACAGAACAAGAGTAAAATCGATTGTCGCGTGTGGGATTTTCCGTTTTTCAACTGTACCGATAATACAGGGTTGTTTGGTTTCAAGTTTTATATATTTTTATTGTAAATAGGGCTCCCAAAGATATGAAAAAAAACCCAATGAAGCATAGGGTCACAAATGACTGCTCAGTAAGTTATTCATATTATAGACTTCACTCAGTCTATTGGTACTACTTATAGACTGAATAAAATTTTCGTCAACTTCATCATTTCCGGAAGATTTTTGAGTTTTTTTTTTTTTTTTTTTTTTGTTTACATTGGAAACCACTTTTGGCGATTATGAGTGAACTAAACTTAAATTTGGGTCGTTCTCATTCACCGTGAGGAACTCGATTAAAGTTAATTGTGATACATAAAAATTGAAAAGTATGTAGAAAGAACCAATGGTCAAAATACGTACAAGAAACACTACACTTGATTAAAATTTTCATTACTGTTAATTTATTTGTTCTAAAACTCGATCAAACAAACGCCAACTCGGTACAGTTTACATGCTTGTACGCTTTTCTGCAGGTGGTGGTGAACGCGACTACGGTGGCTAGCTTTGTTGTCAATGAGGGATGTGGTGTGGAGATACAGGACGATGATCAATGCGTGGACCACGGTGGTAATCAGTTACATTCCGGACCACCAAACTTCGAGGCGGATAGACCGTCGGAATTTAACGGATCTGCCCGGTGGATGGTAGCCGGGAGCAAGAACTAGAGCAGTGGCCAGAAGCACTACGCAGAACGACGGACTTGAGCAAATGCCACGGAAGCAACCGGGTTCACTAGGCCTAGATTCCAATCGCAGGCGTTGCGAGAGACACGTGTGGGCGCTAACCAATGCTGAAGATGGCGTCAAGTCAATGACGAAGGGTTGGAATTGATTCGTGCTACCTTCCAAGACGGCGAATCGGTCGATGGCGTGTTTTTCCGTTCCACGGCATGCGCTGTAACTCACTCGGCTTGAAGAGAATCCCTGGGAACGAAAAGATATCCTGCAGGGTTAGACCTGCGAGGCCGCAAAAGAAAAGGCCCAAACTAGGATTTATTCCTACACTGAAACAAATCGATATGTACCGTTTATTGGATCCATCTTATAACATAGCAATGTCAGGAGATTTATTCATTCTATGTGATGATTGATAGATTCCAATGGATTATCACTTAAAAACTATGACTGCGATATGGAATGATTTCTATCGTAATTTCACATACTTAGTACTTGATAATACTTTGCTTCGAACGTGGTTAGCGATAGGTAAGATGTATATGAATATTGTCTGATATATTTCATGGTGAAAAACTGTTGATATGTCATGGGTGGGAACAGGCATCTAGAAACTAATGGAAAATCATATAAGTTTGCACTATGAGCAAATCGAGTAAAATGTACCTGTTTTCATGATGAATATTGCTCACTAAAAGATATATCATATAAGATAATCATGTATATTTTATTGGAGTTGCTTTTAACGATTTTTGACGTTTGTTGATATGTCGCGTGTAAACAGACATGTAGAAACTATTGGACTGTCATTTAACTTTGCAGTATAGGAAAACATGTATATCTCATTGGAATAGCTTCCTTTGATTTTTGAGGTTTGAATATTGTAAAAAGATCTATCCCAATCATTAAATAGTCATATAGATTTGCCTTTTAGGAAATCCAACATCAAACATTTGTTTTGGTATGTTTTTCTGGGATGAACATCGCTCCCAATAAAATACATCTTACATAATTGTTCTTTATAAATTATTGAAACAATTTTCAACTTTGTTATCGTACACTCATTAGAATGATTAATCGAACTAAATATTGCTAACAACAATGATACTGTAATAAATAATCATTGTTTGTTATTGTTTCATAAGATAAGGGGTTCCGGAAAAGAATGTTTTGAGATTGAAAAAAAAATGATTCTACTGCAATATTTATTTGCTAAGATTCTAATTGTAAGCCTTCTACACGGCTAATTCAGATTCCAGCACTAGTACTCGAACTTCATGAACCAGTTCCATGAACTCATATAATGTAGTCGTTGTTTTATTGCACACAGGAGCATTAATTATGATTTGAATACACGACACCACTGAAACGGAGCATATATTGGTCAGTGCTATTTTTCTTCACTCTAGCAAAACGAGCATAACGTTGCTCTATATTCCATGTTGGGAGAGCTGTTATTACTTCATGCTAATTGAACGAGCTCAATATTGAAGTCAGCCGTGGCCCAATGGAATCGAGCGCAGACACGAAAAGCATCACAGCTCAACAGTTCTGGATCGAATCCCAAATCAGCTACAATAAAGAAAGACACAACTGCCTGATGTTTATTTTTCGATTTATTTTAGGAAATCGATTAAATATATGTGTCAAAGGAAGAAGTAAATTTCATGTGGTTTTCACATAAACTTTACTTCGATTGATTTATGGCACATATAATATATTGTGGTGAAAAGTAAAGCTTATGCTTATGGGTTTCAAATCCATTTCAGTTATTTATTATGATTTGACAGATTTTCATTTATCATTTTCATTTTTCATTTATCATATAAAAGTTACCAAATTATCAGCATTGTAAATGTATCAGATATTAATATAGAATTAACCTGACACATTTTCAATCATATCATTTTCAATGGATTATCTTATAGCGCAAAATTATTAGACTTCCACATAACAGGAATATGTCAAATTGGTTCAGTGTAGGTACACCATTTAACATTTGTCTTTCTCAATTGTTCTTTTACATGCTAGATCACCATTTTGTAACCCTTTGTTATAATAATTATCATTTTATGATGATTCTAGTCCAGTCAGGTCTATAAGGTGATTTAAGAGACGTTTCTCCGTGGAAGCACAGAGAACAGACGTTCAAGTTCGGTCAGAAACTTGTGTAAAATAAGTGGGAACGTCGCCGTTACGTAGTGTTAGCATCTCCTGATTTTCTCTATAAATTTTCCACTTTCGACCAATTTGGCGCTAGTATCGATAAATTTTCTGTTGAAAATTGCCACTTGGCACTACCAGCACTTAGTGGTTAGTGTAATTTGTGCAGCGCCAGCGGCTTCAGGATGTCAAAGAGAGTTTTTATGTGGGGAAGTCGCCGTTAGCAGCGAATAAGAATCATTACACAAGTTTTTACAGAAATATTGTTCGAGCCTCAACGTCTGTTCTCTGTGGTGGAAGTGATAGCTAGCAATCTAGAGTGTGTGAGTGAGCTGGTATTAATGGTGCTTAATGTAAACAAACAAAGCAGAAATTGATATGAGAATAAACTGCCAGTTCTACCACAGAGAACAGACGTTGAGGCTCGAACAAAATTTCTCTAAAAACTAGTGTAAAGATTTCTAAAATACTGCTGATTGCATCTGAAACTGGACAGTCCCAAAAATGCAAAAAGTGAGATAAAAGTGCACGTTAACGTCAAATCGTTTTGATGTCTTCGGTTCGGAGCACTTATTGCTTGCATCATAATGAATAAGTGCACACCAAGACGATTAGACGTAAACTTGCAGTTTTATCACACTTTTTAATAAGTGAAAACGCGATTATTAGTCCAATTAGGTGTGAAACGCGCAATATAATACTTAAGCACCAGTAACGGCGACTTCTCAACTTAAAAACCCTCTTTGACAACCTGATGGCACTGGCGTTGCACAATTTACACTAGACACTAAGTGCTGGTAGCGCCAAGCGGCAATTTTCAACAGAAAATTTATCGATACTAGCGCCAAATTGGTCGAAAGTAGAAAATTTACAGAGGAAATCCGGAGATGCTAGCACCACGTAACAGCGTTGCCAGATATACCGATTTATCGGTATTTATACCGATTTTCAAACTAGATACCGATATACAGATAAGGTTCCTCAGAATACCGATTTTTAAGATTTTATACCGATTTATACCGTTTTTTTTTAAATAATCAAAATTATTATTGCCTGCCCACGCTCGAATCTTGAATAAAATTTTTGTGAGAGACTTGTATCTATTTGAATACCTCATATTTGTTGAGCCTTCAAAATTCGAAACAATCATATCTAAAGATGCCTTATGCTTGATACTCTTTCCACTAATGTTTGAATTTACTCACCGTTTTTGGCTACCCATCAATCGAGATTTAGTCGATGGCTCTTTCCGGTAATTCCTAGGAAATCGAGAAATA